CTTCATTGACTCTGAGTCATTACAGCTCTGATATTCGGCCATTCATCATGCAAGAGAACCTTCTTTGACTTTCTAATTTGCATTGATCAGCAGTCACATATTTCATGCCTTCATCGGCATACTTGATTGCACATAAGGAAAACACAGCAATGTCAACACACACACTCTGTAGTATCTCATGCAAGCTGTGCAGACATGTTAGGCATGCTCACGTGTAGCTGGGCTGGCATAAGTTCATTTTTTGTGTGTACATGTCCTACAATAGTAGATTCAGGGGTCTCTAAAACTTAAAAGTACCACTCCAAGACTGAATCGCCCATCCACTGACAGCTTCTCCACAGAGACAGTCTCCTTGAGCCTATGAATATGCCCAGCTGAAATAATGACAGAGTGTGCATGGTCAGCTGACAACTATCAAACAATAAAAACTTGTGGCACATCTCTGCCTCGGAATGACATCAGAGTTCTAAACAACTCTGATTGGCTCGTGCAGAGGGTTGCATAAAATTGCGCACGCTCACGTATCAGATCTCTGTGTCAGGCCCTGTTGACGAGGAATGACACTTAGTCTGAACTTACCAAATTCTTCACATGTCAGGCCCATCCACGCATTAGGACACACGCAGACGTAACTCGGCTGGTTATTTGTGGTCGTTGAGAGGCAGGTGCCGTCATTTCTGCAGGGGCTCAGGGTGGTGCACAGGTTAACTATTGATTGACAAAACAAAAAAGGTGACTTAAAACTAGACTTGCATCTAAAATGGAGAGCACCATTTATTTAGCTAGCGACAAGTACGCGGCCACTGCTTTAAGAATAACAGCATCCCTGCTCGGACATTCAGGTCTAAATCATCATCCATAGACAGCTGCAGGATCTGTTTTTCCAAGAGAGGGGAGGGGGCAAAACACTCATTATCAGCAAACCGACAATCAATTTATGATTGGTAATCAATTGATAACGGAAAAGGGTGAATTCTTAGGCGACGGTGTAAACAAGTGATTTTCCTCCCTGTTCCTCCCTTTGTTGTTTCTCTTGATTTTTCTTTCCTTTGTCCTTTTTTGGTGGCGGGGAGGGGAGAATGGAGTGCGGGAGGTGGCGCCCTTTGCCTTTCCCCTTCACGATGCTCTGGTAAGATTTCAATGCAGCAGATGGGGCCACACCCTTTACTCTTTATTCCGGTCAACCCCCACCCCCAAACCCATGAAAAGACCCGCTACATGTTGAAATTCACCAAAGACCTCTTCATTTGTAGTATGTTGTATTTGGGACCATATCCGGTGTTAGATCGTAGGTGTTATGAAACAGACAGGGTGTTGCTAGAGTGGAGGGAGGGTTTCTCACCCCCATTCAGACTGGTCGGGGGTCCTTTGCCATTTACATTACACCCATCCTTGTTTGCCCACAGCAAATGGTGACATGCGACAACTTGAACATTATTATTAAAAACAAGGGCATGTACTAGTCAACCACACAATGGCTCAATTAAAAAAAAAAAAACAACCTTACAAGGCAGTGACTGATACCATGTGAAAAAGGCAGAAGCAGCAGGTATACACAGCTTCTCACACCAAAATAAGATCTTTTTAGCATGTACATGTAAAAGAATATTTGAGCAGAACGTGCTGCTGACAACTTTGTAAAAAACAGAGAGAGAACTCATCAATACGATGTCACATGCACCAAATGCTTTCTCTATAAATATTATCAACAATGAGAAAATTTACTCTTTAAGAATCACTGGCAATAAAAGCAAACAAACTAAACCACACTGAAACTAACTACACTAGCCTTAAGGACAAATTAAGGCTAGAACCAGGCCTGATGAGTATTAGGTATCATTGTAACTCACAAAGTGATCACGAATCAGCTCATCAAATAACTGAAACAAAGGCACCCCTCCGTTAGTGTTTATCTCCCTGCCTGTTACCACACTACTTATGATCTCACTTTCAACCTGCTACATGATTGGTTTGAGATTAACAAGATCATAACTCCAATAGCCAGACCAAAGAAAGAAATTGACCAAAGTGGGGTTTGGACCAGTAACTGACAGAACACTGTTCTAACGCTCTAACATAACATTATCCAGCACTATATTTGTAGATTCTCAAGTTGTCAGTCTTTGCTCAGAATTGGTTTCAAATTCAGTTTCTCGAGTACATTTCATCATATATTCTAGATAGATCTCGCTTAATTTACAACATCAGACTACGAGCTTGAACAAACCTGGGACGTCGCAGTTGGTTCCCGTGAACAACGATGAGCAACTACACTGATAGACCAGCAGACCAGATGAAGAGCCCAACGATTGGCAAGTGCCGCCGTTTCTACAGGGGCCACTTCCGCATGGATCCACTGGCAGATACAAAATGTGAGGGGTGAAAAACATGATCAGCCATGGTTAAAATTATCAGGCCAAATGGAACTCACCAACAAGAAATTTGCAGAGGTTAGCTGTACAATAATCTCACCAAAACACCAAACCAAACAAATGCATTCTACCCTGGGTTTTTCCCCGTGATACACCAGCAGTGTAAGTATCAGCGTGGTCCGAGAGTTGAGAAAATGACGACAAGCTTGCTCAGGTGCTAGTGAAACCAATGACTTCCTCCTTACTGGTGCAGAAACCTTGCAGAGATGCTGGCTCAAATCTTGTGCAGCGCAGACTACTTCAAGTAGTCTGTAACAATATTAGTATCTCGTGAAGTCTGCATCTCTGATGCAAAGAAAAATGAATATCATTGACTACTTGCAGTGCCCCCATGCGCTGGATTCCAGCCAGCCACCCAATCCTGCCAAAGTCGGTGGCCGACTTGTTTGAGACATCTACACCGGTATGAAGGCAGTCATGGGTACCAATCTCACCAAGCACTGAAGTTTGTGCACGTTCTTTTTTGTTCCTGACTTTTAGACCACACCGGGAACACAGTGTAAATGTATACACAAGTGTAAGGGCAAAAACCTAGCAAGAAGTATTCTTCTTCCCTGATGCAAAGTCAAATGAATATTATCGCCAATGCTTTTGCAACAAAGCTGCAAGCTGGGCAACCAAAGAAAACCTCCCTACTGCAAGCTTCCTTTCTCAGTTAAAAGTACTATGGACTAATACCAATACTGATTTTGAAACCAAAATGAAATTTTAATGACAGAGTACCTTTTAAGCATGGACTTTATTGACCATTCTCCCATTCACACAAACTGCACACAACCAACTCAGTTTGAGGGTTGTTATATTTCATTCAACCACTCTTGTGATGTCACCCTATTCAGTAAAGCGTCGATTATTCTTAAGAATGAAAGTTAAATGTACGTTCTTAAAAAAAATGTACAGTTTTTAAGAATATACAGTTTGGACATTCTTCAAAAAGTGACAAAATAGACACAGAAAAAGCACTTGTGACATTAAATTACAATGTCAAACACGGTGAGACACGCTCTCAAACATAGTAGATTGTTTTAGACGTTCAATACGGATAATAAGCGAATACGCATATAATCTGGGATTCACACTTTTTCTTATGCAGCCACAAAAGTGACTTTGATTTGCGACTATAAAAACAGACTTTCTAGGCAAATCAATCTTTGTAAGCCGATTACAATGTCGCAGACGATGAGTAGGGAGGCAACTTTGAAATGTAGTTGGCAAGTATGAATGGTAACCACTCGCTGCCAGGGTTTCCAGGACTGGACACATATTCTTTGTATGAACCACACCAAGTAAACATAGCACACTGTTAAAGTGCTGGTCAGCAAGCAAAACCATCCAGGACAAATTCTGGTGAACAAGTTGAAGAACTGCACAGGAAGCTGCATAAATACATCCTAATTCCAACTAATAGAAATATTGAAATACATGACTGAACAAGAAGGCTGCTACGCACAAAGGAGCATCACTATCCAAAGTAGCATTCACAAGGGATCAATTTTTTCCCCCAATCATTTTCAAGAGCACAAACCTCATGCTTGGGAGGAAGGAGTTAAGGACCCATGTCCTTTCAAATGTGTTAAAAACTTAAGTTTGGGAACAGATATTTTCCCTTTTATAACCTTAGCAGTTTGCATAGGGGACAGGGGATCCAGAAAGAGGAGAATGCTTGGTGAGCTTTTGCAAATGGTGAAACAGATGGGTGATCTCTTCAATTTCTGGAGCCAGTTATGACTAACAAATTCCATCTGGGGTCATGTTTTACAAACACGTTTATCATTGAAATATTTTTTTCAAATAAAGATCTGACAAAAGACAAGAATAGCAAATTGCCAGCAAGCCTATCCTGTAAAAACCATGAAAGCATCCCCCAATATACACAGTGAGCAAAACACGCATATGTATTTTAAAGTAATAACAAACCTTGAAGTTCACAGTTGAGTCCTGTATGAGTCTGAGGGCATTGGCAATGATAGGCCCGAGTGCCAGGGGCAGAACTGAATTGACCGCACACACCTCCATTCTGACAAGGACCACTGCTACAAGGACCAACTGGAAGAAGGAACAATTAAGGAATAAAATGGGTATATTCTCAGCGCCAAGGCGAATATGAATTCTAAGTTATGCTAAATAAATGCTAATAAATGCTATAACAGAAAAACTTGCCCATAATATCCAAAAGGCCATAAACCAGTCCATCACAAGTCCCTGGAACATCATCGACAGTCTTTCAACAATTCTTTTAGTCTTAAGTTGCAATACGTTCAAGTGAACTTTGACAACTGAAGTATTCCTTTGTCATTGTTCACCCCGCTACTCATGACTGGCCTTGTGAAAAGACTTCTCAGGGGACTTGTGAAGGACTCAACTAGAGCATTGAATATTCAAAAGCAACACTAATGCAGACAGGACCTATGCTTCAATTTTGATTTCATTTGTTTGTTTGTTGTTGCTTTTTTCCACTTCATTTCTAATTAACTGAAAGCTTGTTCTGGCTCAGAAATTCTTTGGGTAGGCTGACCCTAGATCTGGACAAATTTCATGTTTTTCATGCACTGTTTTGCATTTTCTGAAATTAACACTGGACAAAAGCAAAGAATGCAAATTCAAAGCTGGCACGTAAAAGCATTAGAAAAGTCCGTAATTAGTCCACTTGCTTTTGATTTACAGGGTCAAAAAAAGTTCTGGCTCGCATTACACGGCATGTGAAAACACTGAACCTTTCTACATCACATCCAAACTAAAATAGACACATTGTTTTCTTTGTCCAATTTCCCATTTTGCCTAATATTTTCCCCTGAAAGAATTTCATGTTTGTGCCATTTAAAAAGGGTAGACGGGGAAACAGGAAATGAAACAAATTTTTCTGCCTGACAAACCTTCGACTTCACAGTTGGTTCCCAAATGTGTTGAAGGACATGTGCACTGATAGATCAGATTACCAGTGACAGAACTGAATTGACGGCACGTGCCCCCATTCAGACATGGACCACTGCGACAAGGGTCAACTGAAAGAAGATATAACTCAGAAATTCAAAGGCTGATCAATTCTCAGTGTAAATTTGCATCTGTTACCACATGTAAACCAAGCACAAATGCCAAAACTGCAATCTGTCAATAACTTTTAAATAAAAGTTTCCTTTAAAAACATTTTGCAACTATTGACACAATTACAACAGAATGGGTACAAAAGCTACGACAAATTCCTCATCAGTGGGCATTCTCTTCCAAGACGCCTTCCTAAATCCACCACTGTCCGACTAATTCTTCAACCTTTTTTAAGCTGATCCAAGGAAAGAGCTCCACGTCTCACTACCACCTATCTACCTTAATATGATGAAGAGGCACCTAACTTTGGAATGAAAAAAAAAAGTCAAGTTTCGTTTGATATGGAAGACTTTCCCTGAACCACTAGCAAGGGGTATAAATTTTGGCTGAAAACTTTGAATTTCTGACAAAGTGGAGAAATAGCAGCCATATACAGCCAGGCACCACAAATACTCATTCGCAAAAGTCATTTGTGCAGTTCCAATTCAATCCAATTCAAAAATCAATTGGTTTGAATAGGCCATTTTTAGTGGGGACTAACCATACCTTCGCAGTTGGTTCCTGAGAAACCAAGCAGACACTGGCATTCATAGGTGAACTGTCCCACTGGGGTCACTCTCACTGAACACAATCCTCCATTCATGCAAGGGTTGCTACTACAAGGCATTTCTGTGGGGCACCAAGATGGGAAAAACAAAAACAGGTAGGCAAGAGAAATATCATCCTTGGGAAAAGGGTGAAACACCAAGAGCCCAAAGTTTTTCCAGAACATTTTCAGTGAGACGGACAAAGTAGGACTGTTTTTATGATAAGTATGGTGGAAGCAACATATGCTGCTTTTTATCTCACTTTGTCTGATTTTCTTCAACATGAAATCAGTCATTGGAACTTTGGTATTTTTACCAAGTTTAGTCTGAAACCTTTGGACTTCCTCAGGCAATGGAAGATCTGTTTTTCGTGGGTCATGTCAGACAGCTTGAGTCCGGAGGTCTCAGACAAAACAACTGCCAAATAAATACCTCAGCCCCAGCAATTGATCTGACCTCACACATTATCAGGTCCACTGGATGACAGAGAACATTCATCAATCATTACAATTTCAGAACATCCAAGGCCAAAAGCAGGACAGGAGGATTTACCTATTTCACAGTTAGTACCAATGTAACCAGTGGGGCAATTACAGGTGTAACCGCCCTGGCCGGCATTGCTACATGTTCCACCATTCACACAAGGGTTGGACACACAAGCTGACACTGAAAAACAAACAAGAAACAAAATTTGAATGAAAAATACCTTGGACCTGATAATCCAATTGCACTCCACTGTCAGTCACCTTGGCAAGCAATGTAAAGGTTTCAACTGTGCGGCACAAAGATGTTTTCTGTGTTTGCATGCTTTAGTTCCTAGGTTTTCCTGTCATATTCTGAATAGTTCTAATTGTTTTTTTTACTGGTGAAAAAGGGCTAAGTTTTGAATTTGTTTTATGACATAAATTTTAAGTGAATATACTGTTCTCACTTTTGTGTGGAATTCAAGTAGAACGATTGACAGCAATGACAGCACCCTATCAAAATGCTCGATGTTTGTATTTGCCAAAAGACATGCCCCTAATGCTTGATAGAATAGTTGAACATTTGGCACAGCTCTATTCTGGACTCTGCACACCAGTAGTCCCTTGGTGGACACAAAACGTCACTGACTGAAACTCTACTGCTCCAAATGCACCCATATCAAGATGCTTGTTGATACTTTGTGGTCTTTCAGATGAACACTGTTTAGGCATATGTTGCTTTGTATGTACTGAATCAGAACTTAAATATGGAGTGTCCACCTCAAGTGAACGTCACTGAGGGGCAACAACATGCACTTGTTCACACAGCTCCTTGACCATGACAGGCTGAAAACATTTCAACTTTTTTCCTGAAGTTGAAGGGTATCTTGTTGTTTTTTAATGGTGACCTTTAACCTCCGGATTTTGTCACTTTAAGAAATCAATACTATTAGGAGACCCTGAATTACTGCCAGTGTTACATATTTCAAAGGTTGGGACTTGAAAACACTTTCTTTCAAAGATGTTATCTAGTACTGTTTCTACACAAGGGATAAGCAAAGAGAGAAAGGTTTTCAAAATCTGACTTATGTTTGGTGTGCGTTCACAAGTGTCAGTGTAAACTCAATGTGCGCGGGCAAGGAAATAGGTACACTGCAGTCAATGCTTCTGGTTTTCTGAATACTCTGCAGGAAGGTTGGACATCAAGATGAGTTTTGGCAGAGGTTAGGCACATGATCTCATGATCATGAAGACCTTGTGCCAGATTACTTTGGTCTTCCGATGCCTTGATGTCAGTAGCTTGGCAGCTGGCTAATACTAATAAACAACTTTGCGGCACTACAAAATCTGGCTTGAAAGTCAGCCCAGAACAGAGACTGCAGAAATAGGTTCAATGAAAATTCATAATTAAATCAAAAAGTTGCAGTCCAGTTGATCACGAGTTCCTACAAATCCCTCACAAGCTACAGTCACAAGCTATTCAACTGAGTAACTAGAAGGAGGAGTAAACTGAAAGTGTGAAAGAAGGCAAAAATGCCTAGCAAGAGGGCTTTCTCATCAGGGTAGCTTATCAAGAGCTAGCCTATGCTTTTTTTAAAAGGTCTGCTGCCAAATTGTTAAAGTCATCATCAACAGATTTTTTACATTTGCAGACTGGGCAGCTTTCATTTTTCTTGCCTAGTTTCAACAGCGAGAATAACTTTGATGGTTGACTTTCTCACCTTGATAGGAAAGCATACTTGTCTCGATGACCCAGAATGTTGTAAACTGCTGAGCAACAACGGCACTGAGGAATGAAACAGAAGGGAAAAGTGGCACATTTACATTTATGAAACAAATTCAACCTATCAATGAATTCTAAACAAATGCAGTAGATTCCATAGTGTTTACTGGTTGTGGCCTTCAATTTTGTTGCAAAAGACCTTGGCAGAAATTAAAAGCTTCCAAGGTCCAACTGGCAACCACAATTTCAAACACCCTGCCAACAAAGACGGGCACATGGGAAGGTGTGCGCTACCACCTAAATCCCTCACAACTTCTCAAAGGAAACTCCTACCTAAATCATTTGAGTGATTTATAAGAACTTTAACTGAAGGTGGATCCAGGGAAGCCAACAGAGGCCAAAGACTCCCCCCCCCAAAAAAAACGTTTTCTGATGGAAAAAAATGAAAGTGGTGTTTTTTTTGGTCTATGTCAGAATTTTCCAAATCTTTTGCTCTCCCCAAAAATGTATCCCCCTAAAAATGTGGTTCTGGATCCATCCTTGCCAAAAACTGTTGTTATAGGGCTCAAATCACTGGAAGCAAGTGCTGTATTGTGGCAAAAGCTTGGCATCCCCTGACTCTTTTTTTGTTATCGCTCTTCTTATCACAGCTAAACTGTGACCAATCCTTGATCGACGCTCTCCTTACTATATTGTGACGGGTCCGTAGTCCGCTGTCGCCATCCACATGAACAACATGTCCGTGGGCTTGGCAGTCACATCGTTGTGAGTCACGGAATCCTGATCTGCTGGCAGGACGCTGCCAGGGACGTTGCATGAGAAAGTGTGGGCCACCTGGGAGGGGTAATCCACCCATTGCCCCACGGCGTTGTTGCTGCTGTCCAAGACTTGGAGGAAGAATGCCACCGGCTGAGTTTGGCCTTGCAGAGTAATGACCCGGACTGGAGAAAATGGACATTGGTTTAATCGGATGAGTATGGTGATTGGGTTCCCCTGTTCATTTGCATGATGGTAATGGTTTTTCAAATCTCCATCAAAAATTCCATTCGTAGGATCTGTTTCAAATGTTGTAGTTGTTATGCTAATCGCCCGACCATGTCCAAATGTTTTTTTTTTAAGAAAATGCATGTTGGAATTCTGGGGGAGGCATTCAATGTACAGCCATCACTGATTTCACCCTGCAGTGACCTATTAACTACCTGAAAGCAACTCCATGTCCTAAAAAGTCAAATTTAGCAGTGAAAATATGGAGATATTCTTTGGAAAATACTTAGAATATTTCAGACCAGTCTGATTTGTGCACAGGGTTTAAACAGCATCAATACAATTCTTTCCAATTCTTGTTACTCACTGTCCCTTGACCTATGGGGTTCACCGCCCACTTTGCTACACGACAAACCCCCTTATACTTAGGGGTATATATAGGCCTAGTTACTTAAATACTTGGACTTCGTTAGGTAGGTCTACATGAAAATAACATGGATTTTTTGTTATGTCTGGTGGTGATGTAATGTCCGTGACAGCATTCGAACAGAAGCACCCCCTTGTTGGCTGTTCATTTTGTTGGTGGTGATGCAACTGCAACACTTGCATTTCCTAGCTGTTTGTGAATCACTTAAGGAAGCCTCCGCCGCACTTGGTCCAGCTCAGACCCATAGTCGCCAGGTCCCTTATTTTGTCACTTAGGAGTTCGACATTCAACATTCAGTGTTGAACAAGTAACCGTTGATTTTCAATATTCCAACGTTGAATAAGTGACCATTTGACAGTCGGGATGCACACCCCTAAAAGTGATGGAGTGCAAAAGGGACTAGAAAAAAAAAAGCGCCACCATGCACATCCACTCACATGTTGCACATGCCATTTCATAATGATGTATACACACACGACCTCCTCCCACAGAGGCAACCCTGGGTATGGGTTTTTTCAGACTTAAACAAGCCTGGAAAAGTAGGCAACAATTTTTACGGCAAAATAATTATTTGCAGGAAAAAGGGTCACTTATATCTGCTGTATAGAAACTATTTCAGTCAATTGAAATAATACGCCCCAACCTTATATTTTTAAAGTGTTTCTTTACACTTCAGCAACCCCATTGCCTCCATTTCAACTAGGTTAATGCAGTTTTCCACAGTCAAGAGGGCTTTGACTAAAGTCTTGTCGGTGGAGTTCTTCGCTTGCACATAGATAAGAAAGTGAATGCATCATGCCACACTTTTCTCAAATTGATATAAAAATACCCAAAACCCCATGCCCTGCCTAGAGACTATACTGAATCTGATCTCAACATTCTCCTCAATTAGCAATGACTCCTTGCAACCCAGGGCATAGGTTTTTCGCGGTCAAACAAGCCCTTTAGTGTAGGTGGCACAATTTGGATTTTGTCCCTTTTGTACTCCATCGTTTCCAATGGAACGTGCATCCTCTGATTCGTCACCAAATGTTGAACAGTTTAATTAGCCTACTTATTCCATACAATGTTGAATATCAAACAGGCCTACACAACACTGAACTTCAAACAAGGAACAGTTTTTTGACATGTTAATCTTGCAAAATGGGTAAGTCCCCCCCAATAAAAATTAACAAAGGCAACACTCTCTTTATTGCTTGGACCCTATTTTTGGAAATTTCAAACTGTAAATTGTGAGAAATTTTACTTTCTTACTGATAAATTAACCATGCAAATTTGAATTCACCATGTGCCATGTGTTAAAACACTCACAGCTTCCCCTAAAAACTCTGCCCTTTTTAAACATCAACCCTAGTCCCAACAGTTATTGAGCATGTCACGGTTATCTACCAAGATGAATTCAAAAGTTCAATTGTAGCTCTCCCTTCTATATACATGTACATGTACGAACCTCCATGCATGTAGCAAGGAAACCTCACACCACCGATAATCTGAAATTGTATAGGCCCTAGCTATAGGCCTAGGCCCTATATTTTTCACTCCCACACTTTAGCTGACCTTCATAAGACAATTTCCCGGCCATGTTGATTTTAGCACCCCCGCGCGTGTAAGTGAACAAAGCTAGAGGGGAACATATTGTCTACAACAATAACAATGACAATACTTAGCATCCATTCACCAAACAAAAAAACATAAGCAACATTGTTGTCATGAATTTGTTCCCCTCTGTTAAAACTTTTGAGCATACACCTAGCTCAGGTTGGACGTTGTCTTCATTTCATTACGACTGACCTCCGTAACGTAGTACGATCAGGGAGTCCACCTGGGCTAAGCATATACGTATGAAACGATTCACCTGTTGAGATCACAATTGCTGAAAAACAGTAGGGACCGGATTCAGCATTTTTTCCTTCAGGTGAATACATGTATATATTAGTTACCATGTTTCTGAGAGCGGCAGGGTACACGATATTATTAGACTCGGTCAGGCACCACGGTAGGCCCGCTGTTATCCCCAAAACCAGAAGGAACACGCAATTGTGTCGGTAGTCGTGTCCGCTAACCCGCGCCATATTTTGATAGCATAATTCAAATGGGGGCGCTACAGACTAGAAACTTTTGACCAATCTCTTCCATCCCCGAGCCATGGATGAGCGTACAGTAAAGCTGTCTCGTTGCTTGGCAAGATTCATTATTCACGGAGGGTATTAAGTAAGTTTTAGACCTATAATAAATGAAATAACAATAATACAAATCTGTGACTGCCACCCTGACCAATAAAACTTGTCTGGACCCCACTGCCCTGTTATTATTGTTATTGATACCTGCAAACCACAGAGCAAAGAGGTGCACCATCCTTTATTTTGAAACTATAAAGTTTGGGACGATAGCACCTTTACTTCGCGGAAAATAGCTATGGGCTTTGAATCCTACCTAGGCGTCCCCAATTGAATCTACGGATCAAACATTTTTCACAAATCTGAAGCGAAAAAAATGCTGTGACAGGTATGATTTGACCCAAAAAAATCGAGTTTTCAACGAAAACCTTTAAGAGATATAGATCTTAATACCCCCATGCAAATGTTCAAGTTGCTGCAGGGCCGTCCCTGCTTGATGGTGCGTCTTAAGATGTGATCCTCTGCTGAATTATCGTAAATGTGATGACTAGCGAGGGACACAACAGCGAAACAAAAGCTGAGCACAAGAAACGGATAAACTGTAGGTCATGAAAAGCTACCAGGACATCATTTACTAACATTACTATACAAGAGCCGCGTCGATGGGTTTAACCTGAAGTTCAGGGTCACGATTAGCCATTAAGTCCACACCACTAGTGGCTAAATGGACGGCGGAGTGCTTTCAGTGGACCCTACTTTGTGACCTTTCATGAAGTGGGCCTTCTTTGTTCAACGAAGGACGGAATTCCAGCTGTCAACATGGCAGTAAACATGTGGGAAAAGTAGGTAGACTGAACGAAACCGGGGTTAGGATTGCTAAGATCGGTCAGCAAAAACTGAGTTGAAAGGATTAAAAAGGAACGAAAAAGCGGGAGAAAAAAAAAACAAACAAACAAAACAAAACAAAAGGGGGGAAAAATCACCAAAGTTCATGCTTGACTGACCCCCTTCCACCTTAATGGTTTACCATCTTAGTGACACCCAAGATTGCGTTCGACTAAATAGTTTCACTGTAGGCCTATTGCAAAGCGACAAAGGATTTTCGTATATCTAACATTTGAGTGGTCAGACTTTGCATTGTTAATCCCACCCCCCCCCAAAAAAAAAAAACATGTCACAGATGAACCACCTGACGGAAAATACGCCAAGGACAAGAATCAATACTCTTTCTACGCAATTCCCCAGCGCAGGAATGTGTACTGGACTGTTCCTGCTTATCTTGCACTTAGAACTTGCCGGTGTACCAGACAAAATTATTATCCCGAGTTTTACGGAGGGGACAGAAGAACATTGTGGTGAATTGTTACAACTGCGAAATTCGGAAAAGCAAAGTCCATTTTTTGTTTATTTAGAGCAGTTGTAGAATACGAACTCTGCAGTCTGTTACCAAGAAATGTTGTTGTGTTGATGAGCAAGAAATGAAATCGTGAGAATACACTCCACTGAATACACTCCACGGAAACCGAATTAAACAATGGGCGTTTATAGTGCTAGTGTCTACAGACAGTGCTAAGATAGACATGCGATGTCCATGCTTCAGGTTGGATGATCCTCCTGTGAGTAATGGAAAGTCCACAACGCAGCAGTGCTGACGAGAGTGTCGTGATGAACATTTAGTCTCTGCATGAACGAAAGTCAGGGTGGAGTAGGTGTAGTGACCTTCCCCCATCACAAAAAGGGGAGGGTTATGCCCGGTGCATCTTCTCTCCAGATCCAACTAATCTCCCGCTCAATTTATTTCAGTACATGTAGAGAATAAACAATTACAAATCACGCTCAACAGTCACGGTTCTCATTTCTGTAGCCGACCGTATTCGGAATTTCTTACAAATAGGAAATAACCAATAAGTGGTGTAGACTTGACGACTAGTCATTAGAAAGTCGTATAAGTTTAATTACACCTAGATGACCCGATTTTTCAGTTCAGTCACCCGAAGGTAACGCACAGGCAAATCATTCAGTAGTTCATAAAGAGAAAATACTGTATTCAATTTTTCACATGATATACCTGATACCATACTAGTCAAAGACGTCAACTTCCTTACACCATGTTGGTTCGAGTACTTTTGGGGGACTCTGGTCTAATTAAAAGCCTTGTTTTATCAAGAAGACAGTGAGTTCAAATCTCTGAAAATCGCAGGATGGTGTCCGTTAAACATATTAACGTCCTTATAAAATATGGAAGGCTTGACGCTTTGAGAAAGATTCTGCTAGGATCGAAACGTCAGGCCCTCCATATTTAGTGATTTGTAGTTTAGGTCACTGTATTCAACAAGCAGTTTGTATTACATTTTTCTGGAATATTATAACGTCTTGCTCTACATCCAGACGAGAAAACAGTGATTAAATTTGATACATTGAGAAATCACTCAGGCTGTGGCAGACAAAGCACAATACCTGTTCCGCGATTGTGGGAACAAAATTGAACACACGACATTTTCATCTATTTTTTGGGGACAAAATATTATGGGGACGTAGAAATGTCCCCACAACTCGGTCCTAATGTGCTTAGTAAAAGAAATTGTTCCCTGAACCTGGTGGAGACCTACCCACCTGAACACACGTGATGCACACACAGTGGTGTACACGGCGCGCGTTGGGGTGGTGGGGGTGTGCGGGGGGGGGGCAGTTGCCTCACCTGGAGACATGATACCTTCCTTTAGAAGTTGAAGGCAACACTATGTAAAAACGACACAGTCCCTTTTTTTTTGGAGGTGAGAGTGGCGTAGCAATTCTTACACGAAGAAAGAAGGGCCATCGATCTTACGGAAAACCCGCCCCGCTCCAACACCTAAAATACGCTTCTGGTTGCGCAAGCCTGTTACATCAGAATGTTCAGGGAAACGAGGACATGAAGAAAAAACACTGTATTAGCAGAGGGTGGATTTTAAAAAGTTCCCGTCAATTTTCTCGACCATTCTCTCTTGCTGGAAGCCGTTTGGCTGAACACTTGACGCCCAGAGTGCATCGACGTGTTCTTACCTCCGATGGCTTGGTTGATGGTGTATGTTGATGAGGTGGCTCCGGTCACATACGGACTGGCTGTTACCTGCGGTGGGTAGTTGTTTGTGGTTCCCGGTATGCGGTGACCGGGCAACTTCGTCGCACAGACCTCTATTGGTGCTCCATTAGGCCTCCCCTTGACCAACTGAAGGAAAATCAAAGTACTCACACAGCCGAAGAGGAAAATAGTTCTCAGCGCCATTTGGGACTTGGAGTGGACGAATGCAACTGAAGTGAATATGCAAACACTATGGCAGTCTCAAAAAAGGATAGGAGTAGCAGCGGTACCACGGCACAATAGTTTTTGCATTACTCATGGACCCATAGAAATATGGGTGTAGGCCTTTTGTTGTTGAGTACGGTTCACTTGCGACGGTGAAATGGTGTTTTGCATGACTTTCACTATTGTATTCCCTGACCTGATATTTAGTGCATCTGATCCATGGCCTTGCCCGATAGCTCTGTGAACCTATTCACTCACTACAGTGTGCATGCATTGACTTTTTTTTTTACCAACATTGGGCGCGGTTGGAATTTTTGACGTTGTTTTGGCGTCACATTGAACTCGAGATTTCGGAAAGTGCACCGGCATGAGAAAAAGTAGTTGTGGCCTACAAGCATCAGATGCGTGGATCACGATGGACGTTAACATTAGACGCTGAAATGCAATGGAAGCAGTAAAAGTTAATATTGTAATCGCTCTCTGCCAAAATGAACTCCCCTGCCCAAATGAACTGGACATCTAGATTTTCCTCATGCGGCGTCGTTCGAAAGCTCCAAGATGTCACGTTTAAGCCTTGGTGCCAGCAACCTTGGCAAGAATGCAGAACGTCAAATCTCTTTCTACAGGGTATTTCAATAAACCAGAAAGGGAAAGAACAAGATTTATGATACTTGTTTATCTAAATTTGGGAAATTGGCCTCGACTTGTCTCCATGTTACTTTTTATATTTTGATTAATTGGTTGGTGGTGCGAGCTTGGTTTTTCCTCTTAAGAGTTATTTTTACAATTATTTAGTCTTACATATATGTATTTATTGGTTGAAAGTTGTGTTCAAGAATGGTAAAACTCAAAATTGTTCAAAGGGGAACTCACGTCAAAAAAGCTGCGCAAAATCCATTTTAAGGGAAGGGTTAATGTTGCTGTTAAAGACATTTCACATTCTCGATATCTCGATCCGAAATTTGAAGACCTCGATACTGGAGGGATATGGGGTTTCAAACTGCCATGCTGCAAAGACAACCAAATAAAAGGAAACAATCTTTACTCGTTCTCTACATGTCTTGATTCGTGGCTCATTCGTTTAATTTTTTTTTTTACAATAATTTTGTATAAATTATACAGAACTATTCCTATTCCATACAATGCTACAGCGCTCCGTTGCTCTACTACTTCGACTATTTTGTGTGCAGCACCATAAATAGACGTGAAAAGGACAACCATGAAACGAGCACGGGAAGGCGGCGTTTCCATTGGACGTGCACGTCCCAAAAAATAACAGAAAGGACCATGACTCCATAACAAAAATAAAAGATTCACACTATCGTGCGCAATCTTGTTGAAATGTACAAATACACTGTTAACAAAATGTAAACAGTCCTCTGGAAGAAAATGGAGATTAAAAAAGACCGCGTCATGAATTTGAAAGTTTTTCTCTCTACAAATAAGCTACCTTTTAAAGTTCAAGTTTTATACAGACGGTTAAAAAAATGCCCTATTTGGAATCAATGCCCGTGTGGGAGGTGGCTGTCTTGTGTCGCACCTCTACTGCGGGCTCCATCTGGTACCCTGATTTGTAGTCTACAGCTTGATAGTGAAAGTTTGGTTAGATACAAGTCCATGGCCATCGAAATAGCTGCTAGCAGCTCCGTCAAGAGGGCCTAGAATGAATGTCATACCTCGTCCCCAGGTTCTCGCTCAAGTCTCTCCGTGGAGCGACATCGGCCGCGGTAGTCTCTACTTACTAAGGGGACGAGGTTCAAAAAGGCTTAACAACTTGGCTTAATACAGCAACAAGCATGCAGAGGTGTACATTACGGCATTTACACGAGTTCAGAATACTGCTCTGCGCGTATGCGAGACAGTAGTTATAGAAATCACAAAAATTCTCGAGCAATCAAGTATGGTTGACTTCATACAAGGTCAAAGTTTACATGGTGCGATATAAACATGCAGATTATTAAGGCAATGCCAAAGTCTAGACGTATGAATTCCATGATATGACTTCAGATGGCCCGTCTGCCAAAGGAACAACACAGCAGACAAGTAGGATATTATTTTGTAAAAGAAAAAAAAAAACAGACAAAAATAAACTGAAGTCACTTGGCTGACAGCACTTGAAACAGTCTAAAACAAATATCCACAGTGAACAAATTGTATCATGCGAAACACAGTTCACGCACATTTTAAACAACCGACAAGTCAAGAGCTGATGGGGGGGCGGGGCAATGGAGGCCATGCCACCCCCCCAAAAAAAAAACACTGATGAGGATTAAAAAAAAATTCATTCAAGGCATTCCGGGAAAGCATATAGGGATTAATTCCCCATGGATGCTTCTACATAGACCATACCGATTTTCATTGGTCAAAAATTAGTACTCTCCCCTTCTGCATTTTGCGCAGCGTGCATCGTTTCTCTTGGAACAAACACTGCCAGAATGTTGACCTGCAAACTTGGTGTCCAATTCATGCAGTGATACCACAAAACAAAAGGACAACTACAATTGAAGAGGTCGTCATGGCTCGTCGTCCTACGATTGCCACGATCGTAACGATAGAAAAGAAAACAAAAAAACACACAAAACAGCACTTCTGAAGAGCACTGATGTGAATCCCACAAAAAGACTCGACATGACATTTGCAAAAAAAGAGGTGGGAGTAATTGTATAGACTTAAAAAAAATTGCCCAAATCCAAAATTACCAACATTTTCTTATGCTGACCCGACGAGAGATACAACTTCCCCAATCTATTTCATACAATGGATCACAACTCCCAATGCCACCCAAGGAAAAAAAAAAAAAAGAAAAAAAAAAAAAGGCAAAACTAAATACACCTCTTCAAAATATTTGAGCGCCAGATTGATTTGATATGCTAATATATATGCCTCGTCTTGGGGGGGGGGGGTTTAGAAATTTTGACGTTACCATTGGAATCAAATGTGTCCTCATGCACTGAAAATCACACAGATCCTTACTGGCTTGGCGTGGTCAGGGTTACTGCCAGGCTATGTTTGTTCCAGACATTGTAGCTACTTCTTGAAGTCACATGAACTGAGGAATATGACATATTCTACACCTACACCACTAAATAAATATGCTAGAATCTACCACATCATTTCCCCTCCTAAAATGCCTTCCAAACTTTCTGAACAAGAGGGAAGAAAACACACAGGAAGGCTAGTAACTTTCCTTTTTTTGTGTGTTGCAGGAAAATTTGCTGACAGTACTCACTCAAAAAAGTCAAGAGTTGCTCATTTAATATTTTCATTTGCTCATTAGAAATGAAAAGTCATAAAATATCTAATCTCCATATCCTTTTATGTCCCTGGTGCTCTCCAGAATAAATCATAATACAGTGTATGTTGGGACCTTTTTTAATTTTGCTTCATTCTCACGGAGATGAACTAGCATCACGTTTACTGAGAAACTAGCCATTCCCAAAACAGTGTTAAAACTGTTCAGCACAACTCCTCTTTTTGTTATCTTAATTGTGTAATAAAATTTTTCACTATGGACACTGAGGTAGGCTCATATCCTAAAAATAGAAAACTTAAATAGTACAATTTGAAAAAAAAAACTTTTTTTTCCGGAAGCATGTACGTTTCTAGTGGAAAATAAGACTTGCCAAATACTTTCCTTTAAGAATTCCTTCAAACTCACAATTTTCCAACATTTCCCATGACGGTAGAGAAAAATCAATTCAGAATTTGTTTCCTTTTCCATGGCCATCTGGTCTCTTTGGTCAAACAATTTTGCTTCAAGCTTTTCTTCTCTGAAAATCAGCTTCACTTGTCCGTTATATTTTTCTCGCTTTTGAACATGACATTATTCAAGTCAAAATAATTTAACTTTTTTATACACAATGCTAAATGGCCCAGCCATATTTACATTTTTTTTAAATGTGAATTTTATATTATTACACGAGCACGGAAGAAAAACGAAAAGGAAAACCTCCCAAAGGTTCTCAACAAATACTTTGGGATTTAGAAGGCGTCGTGATATTGTACTTGGCACTTACAAAGACCGCAGTTGAAAAATTTTGCCTTTGGTGTGCTGCAACATGCTTGCCTGAACAAAATCAAGAACGAACAACCGGGAAAAAGTGTCGCATGCCAGCAACAAAAACAAAACCCCAATAATGTATCCACCCCCCTCTCCAAATTGCAACTGAAACATGTCTGAAAACTCCTTGCCAAAAATGGAGAATCGTAGGCAAAGCACTTTCCACTGTAATCATTTACTGACAGATTTGTTCTTCAACTTCGGCAGTTTCTCAGCCCGTTTGTCTCAGTGGACCTTGGCGGTATTTCCCTTACATTCTCACTGAAAAAAAAAGCCACATGAAAACGCAAGAACTATCTTTAGAAATATCTCATTCTCTCTCAACCATCAATGCAATAGTGCCACACGACAATCAATATTTTGGGGGGGTTCTATTCCAAAATCAAGGACTGAATTTGGTTACTCATAACACTGAACAGAGCTGTTCAACAAAAGTTAGGGCAAACGACACTGAACAGCATCAGCGACACTCACTGTCCCGAAATGTCTCTCAAGAAAGTTCGCATGCATGTTGCAAAGAGCACATCTGAAGTTTACAGAAACAAGAAACAGCGGCAAAAGGGTGCCATACGATTTATACACAAAATAAAAAATAAAAAAAACAAACCACATACAAAAAAGAGCAATTGTATCAGTAAGTCTGCAGAGGCGACTCAAAAGTACCATTTTAACTCTGTTGCAATAAATAAATAACCTACAGAAATGCAGGCGATATTTATGGGATAGGAGTCCCGTAAACACTGACAGCACTTTTTTTGTTCATTTATAAAAACAATTCAATTGTATTTACAGCATTTTGCTCAATATTTAGAAAAGAAAGCGACACAAAATCTGTCCCAGGTTATCCCTGCTCCAAATAGAAACATTTTACTAGGATCAACTTTGGCAGGGGGCCAAACAGTTTCCGAATAAATGAATGCAACTTGAAAGTCACAGTGACAGCATTTTCATGAGAGGACCCGGTCTCGACTTGGAATTTTGCTTTGTGAACTTTCAAATATTCCATTGCCCAAAGTGTGGAGTTTTACCCAGTCTTGAATGGAAGGGGTTTAAGGAACAGTCCTCAGAAGGAACCTCTCTTTTTTGGACTGCACCTTTAAAGAGCATTTTTGGGTGACTGAGTTCCACTTTTATTTTTTTCACAGCAGCCTAAATGGAGACTGTTCCAAATGTTGACACCTGTTTTCAGTTTACAGCTTGAAACGTGCCACAGCAATGCAGGGAACCACAGCTGGGCACCACCAATTTCTCCTGCCACCCTCGAAGCTTAGCCTCACATCCAAAGCATGGGGGCAGCGGAGTGACAATATGGCATTCCAATTTTGGTGCAGGTGTTTATGCAACCGGCACAAAAAGGCCACACCATCAACTGAATTGGAAATTTGTAAGGAGTGGGACTCCTCAAAGACCACGACTTCACGGTCAGTCTTCAAGTATGTCCAATCGCATTGCTTGTCTTATCGTGACACACCCAGGAAATCTTCCCAACAGAAAGCCACCTCTTAATACAGAGTGCTTGAACACGTCCCTACTTTGGGACGCGCATAAAGTCACGATAATGCCTTTTGCTTCAGCCCACACCCACCCCTCCTCCCCAACACCTCCCATCTTCCTTTTACTCTCTGCCATTGTCCAACTGCTGGAGGTGATTCTGGCTGTCCATGTAACTCTGACCTTTGACCGAGGTCATGACCTCTTCATCCATGTCTTCCTGTGTTGTGGACGAGTAGCGGGAATCTAGCTTGCCATGCATCAGAGGCCCACTGCTGTGAAAGAAACAATAGAAAAATGGTTGCAGCAAAACACATGCACACAGGTTGACCCTTACTGGCTTCCCCCCAAAAACCTTGGGGGTTCCCTCCAATGAACCATGATTGCGCTGCCATCAAGAACAGCAGCGACTTTGGATTGATATCAAATCTGTGCCAACTGAACTGTTGCATCTCCCATTTTCATCCCGTGCAAAAGCTGTAACTTTCACCAAATCTCCCCACCACGTTTTACCAATGTACTCTTTCAATTAAGCTCAGTAACTGGTTGTTGTCTCAGGCCATCTTTGTTTTGCCTCAACCGATCAATTCCGGACAATGTCATGTCAACTGAACTTACTCTTCACTGTACTCCCCAGTCTCTTCCGGGTGGTGGTCCATGTTGTGCATCATGTGACGTATCATGTGACTGGACTTGTCCAATAATGCCTGGCCATTGGTGACGACCGTCACTGCCTCCCTGGCATCTTGATCGGATGTCACATATCTGGGTCTGTGATAAAGGATAACAAATTACATGTTAAAACTCAAAATATCAACAAATATTTCTTCTCGCTGTAAACGACGAAAATTGAAGGCACGGGCCGCAGATCGGAGGATTTTGGTGGAGAGAAAACAAGTGTTGTTTAACATATCTGGAAAACAAGAAAATGGGTTGGCCTTGTTGAGCTTTTACAGCTCTAGTATTTGCTGAGGACGAACACGCTTTGCATTGCAAAATCAATTGGACAGCCTCCAAGTACAGCGAAAGAAAGGTTTCCCCATACCGTGCACCAGTGCAGAAATACAGCAAACATAAACACACAAAAAAAGAACACAACATGGCCGTGTGCATGTGGCGGAATGAGCCAAAAAACAAACGCTGTGCTACTTAATTTATCTTCAACACAGTGTTTCATATCAGGACATTGGAACATCTTTGAACAGCTCTGGAATGCCTTAGTCTCAGACCTGGCTGTTTACACGAGCCACGCTCAATGCAAATGTATGTATGAAATTGTGGTAATGAGGAGTATTGCGGAAAGTAGGGTTAGATAAGCAAAGGTTTGCTTTAGCAAACACGGATGAACATGGCCCTTGTTGTTATGAATATTTCTCTTTCATCGAAAATCTGTTGAGACAGAAATTGACTGTCATATATTTGTCTGGTGGGCAAAGTTGCATTGAAACCTCATAAACGATATTTTACAGTGAAGCCTCGTCCTTTCATCCACCACACACAATCTGTTTCATCAATAAATAAGAATTCTGGCCTTGGGTTTGCTTGCTGACTTTCCATAATAATTTTATGCCCATATGTTTACAGAGATTATCGTTATTCACGAACAGCTGCATCAAAGCAACCTTGGTTTGGCTTGCCTGCTGTCATGTTTATTTCATGCCAACATGTTTATAATAATCCCTTCTTTCATTAATGTGGCCTTCACTTTGCTTGCTGGATTTCATGTTTACTTTATGACCACATATCTACAAAAATCTAGCAATAGTAGATGTATCGCTTGATCGATGCAGCCATGGTTTAGCTCACTGATTTTCATGTAAATTTCATATTTGTGTTAAACGAATTGCAGCGGGAAATGACACAGCAAGAAGTGAATGGTGCGTGTGTATTTTTATCTCCAGTGCTGGGCAGCCACTTGAAGCAAGAACGCCTGTCTGAAACCAAGCAGATCACTCATGACAGCCACGGGATAGCCTACGTAGTGGTGATCGCAGAGTAGAAAAAGAAGAAAAAAAATCTATTTGGATCGAAAGTTGCTTCTCATAACCATTTGGCTCGACATGACTCCGGTAGCCCAGGCTAGACCATCACATTGGGGGGGGGGGGCGGGCGGGAGGAGCGGGGAAGCGCCGTCACAGTTTTACCACTGGCACAGCATAGGAAGGACTGCCCCATGGGTAGGAATCAGTCATTACATAGACAAACCCCTCCTCTGGGGTGGGGAAGTCCAGGAGGGGAGAGTAAACAATTGACAGGCACAGTGAATTACAGACTGTGTCAACAATCTCATTTTTGATGTGAAGGGCTGGAGTGGCTGGATCCTACTTACTCTTGACTGAGATCTTCCGGCTGCTCTTGGTCCAGGTGATGCAGGTGACCGTGGCCCCCCATCATGACCTGGCCATTGACAGCAGGCAGTCTCTCCATCTCCACCTCCCGCCGGTGCTCGTCTTCTTCCCCTTCTGCCTCCACAAGCTCCTCCACCTCCCTTCCTCCTCCTCCGGCATGGCCCTCTCTCCCGACGGCATGCTGCTCCATGTACCTCAGCCCCTGGTCCTGCTGGATGCGCAGGTAGCGTGTCTCCTCCGCCAGCTGTGCCTGGCTGTAGTCGCTGGCCAGGTCCTGCTCGGCGGTCACGTACCTGGGCTCGCGCTCGCTGCGTTCCCGCATCGCCCCTACCACGCCGGCACTGCTGCTGCTGCTGTCGTCCTCGACTGGGTCTTCCATCACACTGCTGAACCGGGACGATTCGAGCTTGACACGCGTAGGTAAGTCTTGCCTGGGGAAAAGAACACGAATGCAAGGAGAATAGTATGATCAGGCTGCATCTTTTTTTTCAGTGCAAATCAGTCACAATGCTCAACTAACTTCCACTGGAGGCTACAGGGTGCTGAGACCTGACCAATAAGATTTGGAAGTTTGCATGGCGAAGTTTTCCCTTGCCACGTACAAAAGGAAGGATGCAAAATTAAACTAGTGGTAACTCGAGGATGACCTCAAGGTTTAGCTCGGTTTAACAAGACTCTGTGGGGTACCAAGGGAAAGACCTCGGGTGATTCCTTGTTTGGAGTCATCCTGAACATCCCCAAACTGATCCCTTCAATATTTCAATAACCCACTTGTCGCTCAAATCCTCTGGTTCTTCTTGGTCCACACTCTGTTCCATGGCGTCGGACCCTTCCTCCACCTCAAAGACCTCATCGCTGTGAGGTTGTTGATCGTTAATTGAGCTGGCAGCAGCAGCATCACTCAGCAAAGGCAAGGCTCCGCCCGAAGCACTGCTGGCCTGCCAATAAGAGGAACCCAACATCAATTTCAAGTCACACGAAAACCCTGTTTCATTGAAATATGGGTTTGCTACTAATCTTAAAATTATAAAATCTCCACAGTTATTTCCGACGTCGCTCTATGGCTCCAACCTTTTTTTTCAAGTTGGAATAATAAATGAACAAACTGTAGCAAGATTCTGCCTTCAGCTCAGAATGTCCATTTCCGCTTCCAACCCTCTCCCACGATCCCAAAAGCTCATCTAAAGCTGAGATGCCGACAAAAACCACACCAAAAAACATCTACCTGAGGTGTCTCTAAATTCAGGGGCATCGGGTGTAGGCTGATGTCATGTGACCTGCTTGCGGGTGTGGTGGGTGTGGTGGGAGTTGACGGTGGTGTTGTTAGGCTGAGAATAAAATGCAAAGATCACTCAAGAAGCTGACCTTTAAACTGATAAAAAGTCCCATCTGGACAAAATTGTAACAGAAGTTTTGAAAAATATGCTGAAATATACCTAAAACAGGATATATACTTTGAATAGACACCTGGGAAGTACATGTACATGTAATTTCACTATAAGAATCATAGTCATATAAGAATAAAATATCTGTTGTTTCAAGTTCCATCCTTGAATGTACTTTTAGTAAAGAATCATGTTACAGCATTACCACTAACTTACACCTCACTAGAAGCTCAACCTTCTAAGATCCTTCAAAATCCACCAGAAGGTTTGCAAAGATTGTTCAAGATACATCAACTGAGCTGGAAAATTTTGTGAAGGATTCAGAAAAAGATCCCACATCAAGTGTGGAGATGCAGGTTAATTAATCATTCCTTATTATCATGCCTCATACATATTCATGATACAGAGCCAAACTCTCAATGATCCCTGTGGCCTTTTTTTCAGCTGTTTCCTGGGCGCGCATCCCAGGGGATCCCCAAGCATATAAAAAAAAAAAAAATGGAAGTACTAAACTGTTCCCTAGTAACAGTTTACGGAACTGAGCAGAGCCCAAGCTACGCCGTATGCACACTACAAGGTGGCCCCCGTACATGCCACCTTTCCTTTGCTCTTGAAGGTATTAATGGCAACTGAATACATGTACGTCGGAGGTGTGGTACAGCACATGCAGCATGATTTATTTCACTTGGATAGGTGATTTTTAGCTCCCTCCGGTACTGGAAGTTGATTCACTAGATTCCTGGGCTTCGCTTGTAACATGCAAACACTGCTTACCAACTGCTGAGTTTCTGGGGTCGTCGTTTCATGAATTCCAGCTCATCGACTGTCCAGACAGCTCCCTTGACATTCTCAACTCGCACAAAGCACTTGTGCAGGCTGAGGTTGTGCCGTACAGCATTCTACCAGGTAGGAAAAATGAAGGATAAATATAAGTTGATTTACATACGCACTGCCAAAGTAAAATGAAAAATTTGTTTATTGTCATCTCTGGTGTTAATAATGAAAAACAGGAACCCAAAAAACAACACAAAAGAAACAAATATAAAAACCGTCAAAGTAACAGAAAATATTCTGCAGAAAGTGTGGGCAACAGTCTGGTCTTCGTGGCAAAAGAAATGAAACAAGCCCTTCCTCTCCCCATTCCAAAATTCTTGGATGTGCAAAACTGAAGTTGATATTTACAGTATAGGCCTGGACAACTGATGTAAAAACTTTTCAGAAGCAAGATGTCATGTTTAGAAAACCCTGTCTACAAATTAAAGTCGTCCAAGGTCCCACATCTGTACCTTCCACGTTGCAGCATTCCGTCTGAAGTAAGCAAATGTCCTGGTGAACCAATTGTAGATCTCGTTCAAAGTGAGTTGTCCGTCGGGAGAATCCAGGATAGCCTGCCTGATGAGGGCGGCGTAGGTGAACGGAGGTCGCACGTCCGCCATCTTGTAAAAGTCCGCATTGCGGTAGATTTCTGCAACCGGGACAGACGCACGCATGCTTGCTATCAGTGGATGCAATAAACTCTTGACTGAGGGACTGACGAAAATTCAAGGGGAGGATGGAAAATATTAAACAGGTGGTAGCTTGAGGTTTCTCTTGAGGGTTTTTGGGTTCCTCACGGTAAAACCTTGAGTCACTGCCTGTTTCATTTTGCATTTTCTCCCTTGAGCCTGCATGAAACATTTAAAAAATCCTGTAGAATTGGAGTGATGGAAGACTGACTCTGATAATAATCTGATAATACTTCTATCTAGGAAGGACTATGATGGACCTACAACAAATCAACAGCTTTTACTCCTCTACGCATTGGGTATCATACAGTGAAAATTGTTTTGACTTTGTTTTGTTCCTGATTCCAGTAATGTGAGCCGACTGAGCGACCCCCAGAAGTGAAATCGAGGAGATAAATGCTTGGCTGTGCACTGCATGCTGAACCCATCTAACTGCAACTTCAAGTCAGAATTCGTCATAGTGAAATTCCCCCTATTCAGCACCTGTTCCCAACGAGATGCCGTACTTCTCGCTGGTCCGTCTCCTGATGGGCCCGCCGCCCGGCGTGATGTTGATCTGCACGCTGGACTGGGGCACCGACGAGCCGCCGCTGGCAGAGGTGGTGGTCGTGGGCGGGGCCTGGGACTGGGGAGGCGGGGGCGAGGGCATGTGCAGTGGGTGGGCGGGGAGGCTCGGGGGCGCAGCGTGACGGAGGGGCTTGAGAAGGTTGAGGTGGGAGAAGGCCGGTGATTGGATGACGCTAGGAGACTGCACCAGGGTCATGGTCTTGGGGACTGAGGCTGGAATCTATTGGGCAAGGAAGACGAGAAAAAAAAATCAGGGGTCAAAAATAAAAAACACCTGCAAAACATCAGGTAGTTGTGTTGTAATACATCACTTTTCCTTTCAACGATTTTCAATGGCTAACATGGCACGAGTTCTCTCTGATATGGCCAAGAATATGTAATTGTTACACTTTGTCAATTTTTCTTTGTTGAAACTACATGTACTAAAATGCAACAAAACATCACTGACTGAGCTTCCAAAAATCCCTTGGTCACGGCCACTTTGGACCAGGGACTATTACTCAACCACGGGTCGGTTTTACCTGGTACTTGGGAATGTTCTTGTGTTCAGATTACCAGGGAACATCAACCAGCAGTTGACAAATCTTGGCTGAGCAAACTGTGTGTATGGCTGGTGGGGCACTCCTCCACCGAAATCATCGATAAATAACTTCCTGACCAGTGTCTCATCTAGCTAGCTACCTATACCTCTCTAGCTATTCTAAGGACAGGCATATCCAAACTTTTACAAAACCCAGGTTATTTCGCGAATCATTTGAATAAATCTTTTGTTACATTTCCACTTAAAGGTGCTGAGTACCATACAAAACAAGGACTCTTATAGCACTGTGGGGTACCACCTTCGAAAAGTTTGCTAGAGTGGACAAGCAGATTCTAACAGCGCCTTGTGAATGGCAGGCAGATGTTTCAGTCTGCAATGAAACCCTGTTCCAGACCCCATCTTACTTTTTTGCTGGGCAGGTAGCTCTTGGAGGTCTCGGATCGGGACTCCATGGGCTTCATGTGCAGGTGGGCCATCATGGCCGCTAGTCTCTCCCGCTCCTTGGCCAGCTGGATCTCTAACTGGCTGACCACCTGCAGCTGGACGCGGGCCTGGGCCGTGCTCCGGTCGTCCAGAGCGTGCTCAGTGCTCAGGTGCCTGTTGGCGGAAATTGTTATTATCGTCATTCTTATCAAGCATTTCTGGTCATGAAACCAAGGTGTCCTCAGAAGTACCCTAAACACTATCCCTCATAGGTCTGAAGGAACTTATAGAGAGGATACATTGAGTAGTAGTTAAATTATTAGAGGCAGGAGGAAAATCCCAGAGGAACGTTCCGAGTGAAACCCACAGAGACAGGTAGGGAAAAATCCACATGTGGACTGGGCTGGGAATCGAACCCTCGACGCAGAGGTCCAAGGTGAGGAAAGAAACACTTTGCAATTAACTTGACTCCCCAAGAGATGAGCGCTCGCGTAACTTTGGACAGCTGTTAAAAATACGATACTTTGAACAAATTTGTATGCAAATAAGGTAATCACAAAACACTTGAATGACACTGCCATTGTAGGCCAAGCTTAAATCAGCATTCATCTGTCAACCAACCGGTCGACAGCAGTGTTTTTGTTTGGTGGTTTGATAGCTGTGTGAGATTTTTAACATCATGCAAGCTGCTCTTTTATTGTTCTGATAGCCACCCACAATTTGTATTAACCACTGGTGGGGGGAAAGTACGTAAAGTACGTAGGAAGAGCAGACCTTGTGACACAAATTCCTACTGAGGCAGATCTGACCATGAAAATGGCCCGACTAATTAAAACAAACAGGAAACTTCATTGTGACGAGGCAGACTTACTTCAGGAAGGCCTGAAAGTCATCACAAACTGTTTCACATCCGGGCCATTTGCACATGCCATGAGCGTACAGAGGGTGGGCGCTGGAGTTCATTGCACTTTCTTCGGGCTGCAGTCTACATCAAGAAGAGAGAGGAAGAAACAACAGAATGCAACACGAACACCATCAAGATCTACCCCAAGAAATCAACTGCACACCATAGGCGATCCTTTACACACTGAACACTAAAACCCCTCAGGCCAATTTTGTGGAACTTGCTACAGCGCACAAATCTGCTCAACACCCAAATGATTTGCTTAGCCAATTCGGACTGGTTACCTGCCAAATGCTATCTGGTGTGTAGACCTTGTCGCTGGTTGCTGGCAATCTGTGCTCAGTATATGTGCATAATTTACTCGGTGGAATTTTCTGTTTTAACAGCTCAACATAAGTGTGTACAATGTACCTGTCCGGTATGATACACCAGAATGATGTACTCAGTACTGCATTCAATAATGCACAGCTGCTTATCAAATCAACTCTGGCAAATATTATGCATGTGTACAAAAGTTAACAATGGCAAGACTGGCTACAGTGACAAGTACAGTACTGGCGCAGGGCCAAGTCCAATATGAATAATTCCATATATTTAGGTATCTAGAAATATCCACTGGATTAAACATTCAAGTACATGTGTATTTCACCGCTTGGAGGGTTTTGGATTGTAAAAAAGTACCAATCACAGCAGACATCAAACTGTTGTCACAATCCCTGTAATAGCTCTGAACTTGAATGACAACAAACAACTGTCACTAAGTAAACCAACTATTTAAAATTTCTGGGAGAACGCAAAACAAAATGAAACAACATCCTGTTTTAAAAATTCCTTCCCAAATTTCCTTAAGATTTGACCAGTGACAAAGAATCTGAATTGAACAATGGCCTTGGTGGCCATCTGTGAAGCCGCAGTGGCCAATTCAAAATCCAGACATGCCAACAGAACGGCAACATTCCAGTCAACACAATGCATGTGTCAGTAAGCAATTGTTGATACAAAAGCAAATGTTCTCAAATCAGTGGCCACAGAAGTGGAAAAGACAGCCGGAAAGGTCGAAATGGGTGCAAGAGTGGCATAAGCCAATGCACACTATTTGTGGATGTGTAGCAGCCAGAAAAGTTAACCAGAGACCAACGTAGTCGCCATGAGAGTCAAACAGAGGCCAGCAGAAGCCACAGGAGAGGCCAGTAAAAGCCAAAATGGCAAAACATGGGCCAGAAACAGCTGCATGAGCCAAACAGGGGCCAGTAGTAGCCACAAGAGTCAGTCAGAAGCCAGCAGAAGCCACGATGGCCACGCAGAGGCCGGTGATGCAAGAAACCTAAATGTCAAAGAAGCCAATTGGACTGAGCAAGAACCCAGAGGCCATGTTTTTAGCGTATATTGCATTCAAATAACAGGATGACTGATGTACCATTCACTATTATCTAATGCCCAGAACTGCTTTTCCAAAATGCAAACATGCATTCATGCTTCTCTCAACAGAAGAAAAAAAAAAAAAAAGAAACACATTTGGACAGTCCCCGATCTTATGAAATGGCCCAAAGCAACACTTTGAAAATGAAGAGTGCACAGTGATGAATAAACACTTTTCTTTGGCCAGCCAATCTCTTGTGACTGTCCCGAATCATGGTGTTGGATGAGTTTACATCAATTGCATTACAGTCCGAGAAGTTTCATAAGAGCAGAGCGACACAGACACTGAGTCAACTGCCAAAAGGCAACCGACTCTTGGGGAATTCCTGAGTTTACGGTGAGACGGTAAATTGCACAAATGCCTCTAAACCATTTCTGGGGATCCGTAAAACAACACAATCCCCAGAAGGGTATCCAACCAGCTAGGCAGTCGGTCGAACGGGAAAAAAAGTGTGGGGCCTCTCGAGGGCGCTCTGCAGAGAGCATCCCTGCGACAGCACAAAGATCGGCCTTCTTTATCCCTTTCCCTTTATCCCTTTATTCCTTTCTGTGAGAGTTCTCGCAATCTGGAAACATTCACACTGTTGCACAGAAATCTTTTACGCTAAACAACCGACAACTTCTCAAACAAATCTATCATGAGCTTTCATCTGTTGAGATACTTCAAGGTCGATTCTTTGTCTTGACTTTAAGACTGATTTCCAAAACAGCATGCTCTAAATGCTAGATCTCGTTAGGCAAAAGCAGGTTTCCGGACAGCAATGTGGCCACAGAGAGACTTACAATGTAGCAACCCTTTTGAAGGGAGTATATGTTAATTCTTTCTTCAGCCAGACACTGAGGCCGATCAAAAAGAACCAACAGTTCCCGAAGGGGTGCCAAGTACAGTGTACATGTACATATACATGCATGTGATGATAGCTAATACAAATTTAAATTTTAAATTTAGGCAACACCAGTTCAACCTCCGTTTACACTGTACTGTCAATCACCAGCAAGCATTTTTTTTCCTATCTTCACAGGATGAGGATAAAAAAAGCTAACTTGCATCTAATGTTTTGATCCAAGCAATGTTTTGATAATCCTTCAGACGGCAAGTTAACTCCCACATCCTGGCCTAAAGCTTGGAAATTGGCTGGCTGGAAAGGCATAATCCTAGACTTACAATTTCAAATAAGATTGTGATTATATACATTTGGAGGTTAACCACTTCGGGAGATTTGCTTTTTCCCATTTTGCAGGAAATGTTTTGAGAAACTGATAGCGTCTTCTAGGAAATACAGTTTGCTTACTGAAAAAGAGAAAAGAAAACAAGAATAATAATAAAAAAATGGGGTAAGGCTTGTCATTGAAGGTTCAATAACCAAGACTTGAGGGTCATAGGTTCAAGTGTGCTATGGGTTATGTCCTTGAGCAAGCCTATCAACATTAATAACATTTGTCAGTCAGTGAACAAGAATGCAATGTTTTAAGATACATCAAAAAGACAGAATTATGTTAATTTTTTGTTTTCTGCTGTTTTTCCTCTTTGTTTTTTTGGTTTGTATTTTTTAATTTTCTGTTTGGGTAACGAAACGAAAATTCAAGAAAACCACTACCCTGAAGTGTCACTGGCATGATTTTATTCAGAATAGAAATGCTAAATTCTTAAAAATGGCAAAACCAGCAGCTGGGGCTAGTGTTCGCTGTTGATCAATGTTAACTTTGACGATAGATGTGTATATTGCCTTACATCATTCCGTGCGGAGAGATCATGAACTGGGCCGGGTGCAGCATGGCTTCGTGGGCTCCGTTGACAATGGGCCTGGTGTGGCTCGAGCTCTGGGTCGTAGGGGGGTTACTGGAACCCGAGCTGGATTTACCCTCCTCGGAGGCACCGGTTGTTGCCGACACCTCCTTCCAGAGGGCTTGAATCTCGGCCTGGCTCATCCCTTGGGGAAGAGAACACAAAAGAGAAACAAGTGGATCAAGAAAAGGCTGCTGAACATTTCTGATCAATTTCTCCAAAGTTGAAGCCTCGGATGTCATTTTTTATCACTGTTTCATTTGGAGTCTTGATCAATTGAAAATCATCAGACAACTTGATCTACAGGTACATTGCACTTCACGTAAGTAGAGTTTCAGCATCCATTATTGATTCCAGTGTGGTGTAAATATGCCAGTGAGATGCTTTTTCTGCTGCTTTTAATTTATTAAAACATTGGCCTTGCTCATTGCTATTTTAATTCAATTCTGTGAAATATGTAAAAATACTCTTTTTTTGTAGCAGTGGGGTGGATAAAGGTTGACACTATCCTTGACCCTAACCTAAACAAATCCATCAAAATCTATCAGGTTTTGTTGGATTGAGGAAAGCAGCACCAAGCCCCTATTACTTGAGACTTGATACCTTGGGAAGTTGATGCACACACAATATGCCCTTAAGCTCTCATTTGGGAGGTGGCTGAGGGGTTCAAACGTTTGTCTCTGGCTGACTCAGCAAGACCAGCACTTACCCTGGGGTATGTGGGACAGGGTGATGGGCTGTCCTACCGCGGCTTGCTGGGCTAGCAGCTGACTGGCCGCGGCGGCCTGCTGGGCCTGCAGCGTCTGCAGCAGGTGAGCCTGCTGCATGGCCAGGCTGTGCAGCTGCTGCTGCTGCTGCTGCAGCTTGCTACTGTTCTTGCCCCCGCCGCCACTGTTGCTCTCGGCGGCCGCCGTGGCAGCCTGCATCTGCTGCAGCAGCTGGGCTTGCTCCTGCAGCTTCTGCCACAAATAACAATCAAAGATGGAGGCAAAGTCATTTAGGGGTACATAAAAACTCTGAAGTGTCTTTGCAGATAAAAGGTGAGAAGAATCATGTCAGTAATGAGAAGTGGCCACTAAAAATAGAGGAGGCCACAACAGGTAGGTTGATTCAGTGGCCACTTTGGCCACAAATGGCTGCAAGAGGCCACAAGGGGCCTAGAGTGGCCTATAATGAAAAGGTTCCAATGGCCACAACAGGTTAAGAGGTACAGCATGAACTGATGGTGGAAAAGTGGCTGGAGACAAAGGCCGTGTGTTGGTCATAAACAAGTAGAGATGCTCCCAAATGCACATGGCAGCCAAAACTGACATATTGCCAAAATGGCAGGTTGGCTACGCGAGAAGGGATGTTATGACGGACAAGGGACTGCCGTCAAAAAAACGACAGACTGCCACCAAAAAAGAGGCAGCTGGTCAACTAGTTGTTGATTTGATGTATCAATATGAGTACCTTAACCCTGCTCATTATTAGAGTGAATATCTCTTGCCAAAGTATGGTTGTATTATGGCCATTCATTGCCGTATCTTGCAATTAGATATAAACCAGCAATGTAATTAGGCCTCAGCAGGGTGGTAATAAACATACATGTACTTGTGTGTCATCTCAATTATCAAATTAAAGCATCCAAGTTACATTGTACTTGGTTAACAGAAGTACTTTTGGATTAAACCCACAGACAGCTGGTCTTTGAGCGTAATGAGTCCACTTTAAGCCCCGATATGATACAAAATATATTATAACACCGACGCCAAGGTCATGATATAATATGCATCAATACCCCTGCTGTATGTATAAAGAAACCAAACACTGGGACAGTTTTGATGTCCGTTGACAACACGGCATGCTTGGTTTGTACAACTTGTAAAACTTTACAAGTTGTCCATGCATTCATTACACCTTTTTCTAACAATAATGTTAACTGTGACAATGTTTATTTTTCCAATGTGTCAACTATGAGCACCGGTGCCTGTTCAAGCTGCAAATGTCATAGTCAACTTTCACTTTGGATGACAAACTTGTCTTCTTTGGATGGTACAGCCTGTTTTCTGTCTAAGTTTATTAACGGCTAAGTTTCACTCGACGGAGATTGTTATCTTGAGCTACGATTTCACAGCATTCTTGTATTGCGACTACTGAAACCTTGTACATCGATGAACAGTTCTGAACCCTTAACTGCCTATATCTTCCTATGCTACCTTCAAACATTGATAAGTTCCAAGTGAGCTTAGAAATCTAATTAATGTTTCACCTGCTGTAATGAGTATTAGTGACAACACCAACCAACAACAAAGAGCCACCTGGTTACTGAGAGACAGTAGTGGCTAAACTGTGGAAGCTATCAGTGACATGTAGCAAATAATATAAGACCCAAAAAAGAATGATTGAAAACTCAAACGTTACTGAAATAGTCCATCATTTGACACTGCAAATACTAAAAATAACTACATGTATGTACAATGTACACATGCATCCATGCACTATGTCCAGTCTTATACTATGTGTACCGGTATTTTCAAACGACAGGCGTACATGTACATGTTTCAACACAACTGAAGTCTCTGACACCGAGTTAATTCCAGGGGCTTTGGAATACAAACCAAACTTACGTCTGAATGTGACCAAAAACACCCTTTCTTCCCCCCCCCCAACCCTCTGGAACAAACATCAAACATAAAGATAAATGGAGACAAAAACAACCCTTCCAGCACAACATTTCAAAACTGAAACTTTGAACAACCGGCCCTTGCTATAATAAGGCCTGCAAAATAGGCTCAGTTAGATTATCCTAGGAAAATAACCAAACCAAACAAAACAACCCAAACACAAAAGTGTAACAAAAACACCAAGGTTGGGGTCATGTACACAAAAGCTCGCTATCAGGATGGTTTTCGGGACAGAAACCAAAACAGGGTTTTTCTTTTTTAAACGAAATAAGGCAAACACAGTTTGTATGAGATAACATAAAGGCAGTGAAGAAACAAAGAGAAAAATATTTTGGTTTTCTGTTCCTGTTTGGATATCTCAACTCCGCTCATTATCTTTCCGAACTAAATACTGTTTTGCACATTTCAATTTGACTGTTTTCAACATTTGAAAGCCCTCAGATGCGCTCAAGGAGTCACAACCTACCACACACAATGAGCATTACCTGCTGAAAAGTATATAACAAGTCCAAATAAAAAGCCTGAATTGCGCAGCAAAGAAAAAACAAAAACATATTCTCTTACTAACGAAAACTAGATGGAAGGATGAAATAAAAGCAACTGTTAGAGAGCTCGACAAGACCCATCAAACTTGCAAAAACACCAAGGCAAACTTGACAAACAATCACAAAGGGCTGAGCACACATCTGCCAATTGCTCAATGTTCTGTCCTGCGTCCCTGCAGGAATTCCACTAAACCAAGGAGGAGTGACCACATGCTCTACAAAATCTGATGACATTTCTGATTTGTTGAGATTTGTCTTAATTCTGTCACCTCCTATTTTCTTGTACTTGCCTGTTTCTTGTGTTGTCTTCCCTATGCGTGTTTATTCATCAAACACGCCTGGGAATTTAAACAGGTTTCTACGGCATTTACAGCCCAGCACAGCCTGTCCCTTGGTGCGATCACTTGACTTTTGCATAAATTGACTTGTCACTTTGAAGAATCCACAGACAAGTTGATGTTAACTCGAGTTAGTTTGGGAGTTGAGCTTGGAAACCCTGTGTTCACAGTATAACGGTCACAGTGGCACAGTTATTGCTGTTGAAGTGCTTTTTGGCAGTTTATTCCATTGACGACTCTCAAGATATTATGTGGAATTATAACATAGAACAGAGCGCTTGAAATTTCCGAACTGTGAAGCTGAACACTTGCTAGATCAAACAGTAACAGCCACATTGATATCACTGACTAATTGTAGTACCCGCCGTTGCGTTGGATTCAAGCCTGCCAACTGATCCCAGCAAAACTCGGCAGTTGAGTGGTTACACAGTCTGCAACTAGAAGTATAGACTTTTTCTCTCTCTCGGACAACACTGAGGAAAACAGTGTGAAAATCCGTGTTGATGTACAGGCCAAATCTAGTATAAAACACCTACAGCTGGCATATTGTGTGTTTAAAAATCCTAAATGACATTTTACAGGTTATCTTGACAGGAGGCAGTGATGTCACAACTGATGGTGCCACGGGGAAACATTAACCCTAACCCTCCTCAATCCTTCCCCTGTTGGAGGACTGAGGAGTGTTAGGGTTAAGCACTTGAAATTGCAGGAGTCGGAAGAGAAAGCATATACTGCCGACACTATCAATGCAAGAGGGCTCCAATTCAAATCAATGGGTAAACACCATTTGGTCCACGTCGTAGAAAAAGAGGTGCCTTTTTCCCCGTTTATTTAAAATGATGATCCCTTTGGTGGGAAAATACAGCACCCGTGCATAGTTTCACACACATCTGGCAAAGAACGTGCCATGCCAACAATACATACCTGGTATGGACACGTGAACAAAAGAGGCCCACATGATGCAGGCTGTGTGACCCCATTTCTGGAAAACAGTTTCAGAGGCATTGGGAGGTTAGGGTCATTTGCAACAGAACACGCTGTTACTTGTAGCAACATGTTGAAATTTTTCCGACCATCCTGTCTCCGTTTTGCAGGGGGGGCGCTTCTAAACAGAGCAGATAGTCCAGCAGAGTGGAAAATACACTTGAATCTTGATGTTTCAAGTGCATTAATTGGAAATAATTAGAAACGAATGTGTATTAACAATTTTTCCACAGTCTCAGCCTCATGTGGGATGAACTTTAATTTTTTTCTGTTCACATTTGGTTTGAGGAAGCTGTGCCTCTGTGTATCATGCTTATTTGTACAATCTCCTTGGTATTCTAAGAAAGGAGAGAAAGCAAGGAATACTATGAGATAAATACATGTGCTTGGTCGTGTGAAAGTGTTTAGAAACTCAAAATGCAACAAAAAGTTTCACAATCTCTCAAGACATATTTTGGGACAAAACAGAATCTGCAGAGTGAAATTATAAACCATCCAGGAAGATCCACAAAAGAACTTTCTCAAAATAGCCCCATTTATTATTATTATTATTTTTTTTCAGGAAATTTCACTCTTGCGCAAACGCACACTCACAAACAAAGGGGAAAAAAAAAACCCTTCCCCTTCTGCAGTCGTAAATATCGGGCATGGACAGGACATTCATTGGACGGTGGATCATAGAATTTGAGCGGGCATACAATGGAAGGCCCGGCCCATGCCGAGTGAGGGGGCAACTGATCAAACATCCTGAGTAAAAAGCGAGCATTGTGGGACATGTCAGCAAGTAAACAAGCAATTCTCCAGGGATGGGTAAAGAGAGAAAGCGGGAGAGGGAGAGAAAGAGAGAAGGAAAAAAAAATAAAAAAATAAAAAAAAGAGGAAAAAAACCAAGGCTGTTTATCTATCAATTTCCTGCCATTGTTGACAGAGACACACTGGTGACATATGTATGTAATACATGAGCGGTGTGCAGATCGTACGTACATGTACATGTATGTATGTGTGAGGGTCGTGCACACTAAAATTATGTGGAGCATGAATGGTAATTTATTTTTCTCTGCGGAAGGAAATGGGCCTTGCACGGTTCAGGACAAAAGAAGCTACATAGGGAGAGGGCTTCACATCATTTTTGGGGGAAAATAAATGTGACAGTTATCAGGACATGACATGATGCATGGGTATGTGTGTTTTGGATCCCTTTTTTTCCCCCTGCTTTTGAGACAGTTACATCACATACAGATAAAATTCCATGATTTATCACTCCCTTTTTTTAAAGCTAAAAGTATCCAATCATGCAAATATTTTTGTCAAAAGTTTTGATGTTAGAGAGTACTGAATAATGATGGAGCAGGAAGAGAAGCACTGGTCTACATGTTCCAACTGCTACATACAATGTACATGTAAGTAGCAGACCCATATATGCACA